CCTCATATTCCCAGTTACTATGTACAGATATGAAAGCTGGACAATGAAGGGGGCTGATAGGAAAAAAATATAAGATTCATTTGAAATGTGGTGTTGGAGAAGAGCTGTATGGATGACTTGGACCACCAGAAAGACAAGCAAGTGAGTCCTAAGCAAATTAAGCTTTGAACATTGCTGGAAGCAAAAGTGACAAAACTGAAGCTGTCTTACTTTGGGCATATCATGAGAAGGCAGGGTTCTTTGGGAAAAAAACAGCAATACTGGGAAAAATAGAAGGCAGTAGGAAAAGAAGAAGAAAAAATATGAGGTGGATTCACTCCATAAAAGAAGCCGTAGGCATGGGAGCTGAGTAGCACCATGGCAGACAGGACAATATGGACATCACTCATTCATAAAGCCACCAGAATAGAGTAAGAGCTCACTCAGCCACATGTAGCATACACAGAGTTAATTACAAAAGGTTTATCAGTTCAGTCCTTACTCTGAGCACAAGAAAAATACCTTTTCTAGTGACAACTTTGAAGAAAGAGTCTTTTTATTGTTTCTATTTAAAAATCACTATGGGAGGTAATGCTTGGTCATTGAAAAGAAACTATATAGGCAATAGACTGAAAGTAAGGGATTTTAAAGCACTCCCCAAGTAGATCTGCAACAACAGACTTACAGGGAATGAATATCACATTCCTTTTCAACAGAAGACCATGTTATCATAACAAAGACTGTTACGTCTTCTCATATATAATTTTAAGAGTTTTAAATGATAGGGCTCAGAGGGTAGGGGAAGGGGGGAGGTAGATGGGGTAATAGGGGTCAAATACGTGGTGACATTAAAGAGTTAAAAATAAATATATTTTTTAAAAATGATAGGTTTTAGCTACTTCTGAAGTTTAAATTCCTGAGAAATTACATTTATTTTCAATTTTAAAAATTAAGATTTTTAAAAAGCAGTTCTACTACACAGACTTTTTCAAGTACAATATTTGAGGTGAAAAGCTTAAAAATAACAAAATTATTACTTTTATGTACTTCAATTTTTAACAGGTTAATATGTCAAAAATAGCTGAAACCACAGTTTTTTTGCTCTTAACACTTTTAATAATTATTGTAAACCAAAATTAATTTAGATTTTAATAAAAATTAAAAGCATTTATTTGAGCAGAAGGAGCTGCAATCCAGGAGACACAGACTGAAGTAGCAATCTAAACTGTGTTCCACCCAACCAAAGGACAGGCCGTCTTTTATAATAAAATTTCCCTCCTAGGTTTCCAATTAGGTTCATTTTATGTAAATGAGGTATCCAAACTGTGCAGTTCTAATTGGACAAGTCTGGTCCCAGTCATTGGTAGAAAGAGGAAACCAGGATTTCCTTGTAATGGTTGGCTCAGAGAGCATAAACAAGCAGGGCATAGTAGTGGGTAGCTGAGAGTTCAGTCTGAAGTTCTTCCTGGGGTATACAGAGTATGTAAGAAGTCCCTGTCAGTAAATGGCTAGTAGGCTCTTATTTATAAAATTCAGATTCTTGATTGACTATGGGGAGTCCATTTCAGCAGATAAATTCCTTCTCGGGGGTTCATATCAAATGAATCTTTCTTCTTGGGGTCCACATTATAAATCAGCATGATTTGGATATAGTGCTAAGTTTGGCTTAAGTGGTATAATACTTTAAAAATGCAGCTTAGTATATTATTCTTTTTTAAATTCCTTTTAAAAATCACTCAAAACAGGTTCACATTATCTTGGATTTAATACGAGTAATAAATAACTAAAAAAAGTTTATACTAAGTGACAACTTGTTTATAGTTTTTATTGATGAAATTTAAACCAGTCAGAATCTCACAAAATTCCTGAGAACTTAAAACTATCAAATAGAATTTATGTTGCTTCTGTGTAAGCAAATTCTTGTAAATTTGTTCTTATCTCTCTGTAACAATGATGCCAAACAGTAAGATGGTAATTTTCCCTACTGGGGTGGCATTTCCAGGCAGCTTAATTACCATTTTTAGGGTGTCCTCCAATTCATAGAGATCATCTCTTCCAGAGTCTTCCTATTAGCCAACAAGAAAAATTAAACGTTTCACTTTCTCTAGCCTCTCACTCTAACTAGCTAAGAGTTGGGGCAAATCAGACCAAGCAAATAGGAACTAGTTTGGATCTCTAACAACCAGTTTCTACATGGCCCTTAATATAGCCTTGCAATTTTACCACCTGCCTATGGTCAGCTCACTCTTCTACACTACACACCAACTAGTTCTACTCGTCCACAACTTCTACTCGTCTCAGATTCCATCCGCTTCTGTACTCCTTATACTCACAGGACTCTGCATTTTCCTTAAAAAAAAAATTTTTTTTTTCAATTAAAAGCTTCATGCAAAATTTCTTCAACGTTACAGTCTCCTGCCACCAAATCAATGCTACTTCTCCCCTCTCTTATTTCTAGCCCATAAAAATGGAGGAAATGTTTCCTCTTATTATTCAAGCTCAATCTCTCCACATATATTGTGGATTATATTCTTTTTATATTTCCAGGAGACAGTTGGATTGTTGAACACATTCAAAAAGATTCAAGAGGCTTTGCTAGAAATGATGATTTATTCAAGCATCTTAGATTTTGCAAACTGGAAACACAGCTAAGCAAAACTTAGACATGTTGTGAAGGAGAAAGAAAAGCCGAAGGTTCTTATAGTAAAAGTACATTCTGGAGAAGAATCAGTCCTGCATTCTTAGCATCAAGATTGGTCCAAGATGGTAATCTTCAGATGTCCAGTGGTCTGGACAATAGAATAATTTCTTTTGAGGTAATTTAGATGGTCACCTGAAAGTTTGATGTATATTCAGGCATGTTCCTCCAAGTATTGATGAAGAACTGGAAAGTTCAGAAGTTTATGTTCTCAGATAACTTAAGGCAAGAATAGAATCATTTATTTTCTCATGCCTTAACCTATTTAATAATTTAACAGCTTGATCATAGTGACTCCATATTTTTTCTTCACTCTATTTCCTCAGGCTTTTTTTTCCCTCAAATTTTAATTGTTTTGAATAGGCAATATATAGAAATGGTCCAAAATTCAAAAATTAAAAAAGAGAATATAATGAAAAGTCTCTTTTCCATTCCTAGTCTCAGTCACCTATCTCCCCCTTGGGGCAAGCATCCTGCCAAAAATATTCAATGCACACACAAGTAAATTATGCAAACATATTTTCTCTTGTGTTTTATTTGTTTGTTTTAGCAATACACCTTACATACTGTTACATATCTCATTTGTTTTTTATTTAAAAATACACCTTGGAGATGATATTAATTCATAAAGTATCGGTTCATTCTTTTTTTAACTACATAGTATTAATTATGAGTGTCCCATAAATTATTTAATCTGACCTCATTGATAGACATTTAACTTGTCTCCAAACTTTTATTGTTATAAACAACATTGCAACAAACAATTTTGTACATTATTTCACATATGTGAAGATATCCCATCGGTTAAATTCTTATTAGTGGGATTACAGGGTTAAAGGATAAACGCAATTGAAATTTTGATAGATATTGCCAAATTATCCTCCATGGTAGTCAAATCAAGCTACAGTCCCAGCAAAAATGTATGAGTAATAACACTCACCCAACAGAAGAGCATAGCAAAGTTTTTGCTGATCTCAAATTTAAATAGCAATTCACTCTTATGACCAAGATCGATAATCTTTTTAAATATAAAAAAGCTATTTGTAATTCCTTTTTAAAGAACTGTTTGTTCATATCTTTTTCCATTTTCTCTTGTTGTGTTTTTTAAAAATTGACTTATTTATATATAAAGACAATTTTTGTAATATGTTACAATTGATTTTGGTCATGCATAAAATTTTTTATAGTCAGATTTATTACACTTTTACTTTTATGGCTCTGGCTTTTGTGAGATACTTGGAGAGTCCTTCCCTACTCCAAGTTTATGAGTAAAAAACGTTCTTAAGTTTTCCTCTACTATTTTTACGATTTCTGTCTTAAAGTTTTCTTCATAAAAATTTTACGTATTTCTTAAGATCGTTTCTAGATATTTTGTCCTTTTTTTACTGTTATTGTAAGTGGATCCTGTCTCGTTAGATTTCCTAATTAATTTTAATACATGAAGGCTACTAATTTCTGTATATTAATTTTTTGGTCACTTTACTGAATTCTCTCATTGTAATTAGTTTTCAGTTAACCATCTTTGGATTTTCAGGCATACAATTATATTACCTGTAAATAGTAGATTTAACTTCTCCATCTCTAATGTTTAAAATTCTTTAAACATGTGAAAATTCTTTCTCTTTTTTATGTTCTTTATTTAGTACCGCCAGAATAGTGTTAGACAGTAATGAGATCATAGATATTCTTGTCTTGTTACTTAAATAATCTTACATTGAAGATTATCTTCTAATTCCCTAATACAATCAGCTTCTCCCTATCTCCTAGATCCTTCTGATCTTGAAAAAACTGTGATTACCACATTGCTCTTTCATTTTTCTTTCAAAGCCAAACAGCTTGAAAAAGTTATCTATGCCTGTTGTTCTCATATTCTCCTCTTTCATTTATTCCTACATTAATTTCAGTCTAGTTTCTGTTTCCACCACTAGGCAGATCAGGTGCACTGGCTTATGAATCAACTTGTACTCAAGAAACTCTTTTAGTGGTGGTCATGGTTGCAGGAAGGCTGAGCTTCTGAGATAACAGTGGCAGCACTGTGAGAGATGGGTGTGTGATGGGGCTCAGAACATGCTATTCCAAAATATGGTGCCTTGGCATATTGAATATTTTAAGCTGAAGGAGTTTAAGAAAATGGAAGAACAAGGTCACTATGATCCTCCCTTGCCCTTCTCTCTTGAAGCAGGTCATAAAACCCTCTCGTGAAAGATGACTTCCCTATACCCAGAGGAGAGGAGGATCCTCATCTCCAAAGACAAAGGGACACTGATGAGACTCAAACTAATAGACAGGCCTTGCTAATTTTCCATCAGTTTACTACACTTACCTTATACTCTTTGTCTTATCATATTTCTCCATGACTGTCTACTCTTCATCAAACCTAGGACAAAATACTCAGGTTTAATTGTTTCTTTAGGTGTTCATTTCCTTATGAAGGCTCCCCTGTCATGTAAAACTTGTATTAAATAAATGTGTACGCTTTTTTTCCTGTTAATTCATCTTTGTCAAATTTAATTTTCAGAACCAGGCAGGGACTCTAAGAGAGTAGGAGAAAACTTTTTCCTCCCCTGCATGTCTAATGTACAGTTCAAGCCTTCTCCTTGGTGCCATATGTGGTATCTGGTGTCCAATGGCGGCAACAGTATCTTCTCTTGATCACTTGTGCAGTGTGATTTGGGATGTTGTTTCTGGCTGTTAGTCTCCAATCTGGTTTACCAAGGTCCCAGAGATTTAATGAACTACCCAGTAGGCTTTTAATATAATATATTAATATAATAAATTTTGCTTATATTAGCCACTGGTTTTGTTACTCACTCTTCCTAAGATTATCAATGTTCTCATTCAACCCAATTGATCATTCTCTCCTTCTAAAAACATTCTTGTTCCTCAGTTTCAATGATACTATATTTGCAGTTTTCCTTTTTTTGTCTCTGGCAACTCAATCTCTTTTGCTAGAGCTGCCTTTTCTCCAACATATCATTTAAATATCCCCACTTCTCAGGATTATGCCTTATTTGCTCTATTAGTGTCCTAAATGAACTCATATACAGTACTTCCATGTCTTGAATACAATTTGCTGATTACCTCTAAATGTATTTCCCCTGCCTAGATGAATGAGTTCTATATCTGGATATCTAACGGTGTACTCAGCATATCTGCTGGATGTCTTATTTGCACTTCAAACTCAAGGTTCTATTTGCTTTTAAAATTGTCTTATCTCAGTGAATGACACCAGCACCTACTCAGTGCTCATGTCAGAAACCATATCATGTTAGAATTATCCTTGACTTTGTTACTCTTATCTTCAAAATCCAAACGAATTCTCTAGTTTCATTTCTTTTTAACTTGGCCAACTTCTCTAGTTTTATCACTTTGGCTCTATCATTATTTCTTGCTTGAATTCCTATATCTACTTAACTAATTCTTGAATTTACTCTTATTCTTATCATTCCATTCTCTTTATGGTAGTCAGATTGTTCTTTTTAAAAATGAAAAGTCAATCATGTTACTTCTGTATCGAGAATCTTTTAATAGCTTCCCATTACTCTTAGGATGAAGTCCAAAATACTTAAGAATCTCCTTTACCTGGACCTTTTCGCCTTTCTACTCTGTATTAGTCAGTGTATAGCCAGAAAAATTGAACCCAAGGACCATTTCAGTGAGTGAAGATCAGAACTATGCTATCTTCCTGGGTTGGAGCCCGCTAGCTTTCACTGCTTTTTGCTAAGCTGGAGACATGGGACCTGTTCCTGTTACTGCTGGAACTAAATTGGCACTTGCCTTTCTATAGATGCTGCTAAAAACCTTTACTGACTGCTAGAGCTCAGAGTCTTCTATCATCTCTCTTGCTCCTACATGAGGTACCAAAGAAGAAAAAAAAATGGCTTCTTTATTTCTTCTACTCTAAATGGCCCACCAGTTCTGCATTGTAGCAGAAATTAACAGAAAATATGCTGAAAAGGAGTCTGCAAAACGTAGTTTGCTAGCTTTCAGCCTTTGTGATTCAGAGCACACAGAGGTCAGGAACTGAGCCAAGAGACACAAATAATTGGCACATACTCCTATTCTTACTTTACCAACTGACCGAACTGTGGGCTTTACACTGAAATCTTTCAAGACACACACACACACACACACACACACACACATACACACTCTCTCTCTCTCATATGATTTTCATATGGTTAATATCAATTTATTTTCTGGGTCTTGACTTAAATAACAGTTCATCAATGAAGTGACTTTTGATCCCACATATTAACTTGGGTCCCCTCTGGCACCCTGTGCCTTTCCTCACAATGTTAATAAAATTGTGACTGAAAAGTTGTATATTTATTTACTATCTGAAAACTTATCAAAGAGAAGGACCTCTATGTCTTCTTTACTGCTACATCTTCATTGCATGGAGCATAGATAATCTGGAATAACTGTTTACTGAATAAATGAAATGTATCTTCTATCATAGCACTTGAAAAAGTAGTTCATTCATTGTCAATAATCCCTCTATGGACAAAACATTTAATAGTTTTGAAAGGTTATCTTATTATTAGGCAAAAGGGTCAGTTTCTCAGGAATTTCTCACATGCTTTTATGAATATAAATATTGGCAGAAACAACATTAGTTTTTCTAGGTGAGTTTTATTAGAAGTTTAAATGCCTGGATCTTTTTCAATAATATAGTATATTTCACAGTTATTTAAGTAACCATAGAGATAGTTACCAAAACAGATAGAAAAAGACAAATTCAAGAAATTAAATAGATGAAATTCTTATGAAATGTACAAAGGGCAGAGTAAACATGACAAAAGAAATTAGAAAGCAAAGATTCCTTTCAATCCTGAGGTTCCAGCCATCTAGTCATACAATTACACATAAAAACAACAATAAAACCTAATTATTTACCTAAATATTCACATACATTTTAGACCAAAATGATATTTCAAACAGTGAATGGCAGTACCTAAGTATTAAAGTATTTCATCATGAGAAGGATAGAACTGATTCCTTGACGAACTGGCTTATAGCTGCCCAATTTAATTCTATTCATTAGGTCAACTCCTTCGGCTTTTTATCCCATAACTGTAGGGTACAAGAGGGTAGCGAGCTATCAGTAGTATGTTATCTTTAAAGCTGGGTTCCTAATTCTGAAATTGGATTTTAAGAATTCTAATATTCAAAGTGTTTGATCTGTTTTTAAGAAGTGAGCTGTATCTATACTTGTCCATCCTTGGCTGCTTGGAATATAACAATCCATAGGTTCTGATTTGTGGGGGAAAGTGGAGATGGGGTTATTGTCAATAAATTTTTAAATTATTGCTGAAGAAAGGACATGATAAGTTAAATTAGAAGATGATTGATGCAATTCATCTAGGAGAGCTTTAATTTTTTTCAGGGGAAATAAGAAGCAATGTTATCCACCGAGAGTACATGGGCTAAGAAAAGGGATAGGAAAACCTGAGCAGATGGGAAAACATTTGGAGCAGTCACTGTAAAGATTTCAATAAGGATGATAATAAGGACTATTGAGTAGCTTTGAGAATCTGAGGGGAAGTTTGATACCATGAATTTCAAGAATTATAACTGGTGCCCTGTTGAGATTTTATCAAGCAACTCCTGATCTATGGCAAGAATACTGATTGTTGTTAGTGAGGGTTAGCAACCAGAGAAAGGCTGGTGTGTACATTATTTAAAAGTTTACCATAGAGTCCAGTCTGGCTAGGAAAAGCCAGAATGAGAATACTGGATTTGAAGGTAAGTGTTAGAAGACAAAAACTGGAAGAGACAGAGTAAATTCAACAGTGATGATAAACTGGTATGAAAATAGGAGGCTAGGTTAGAAAAGCTCTTCAATGAGAAATTCACACTGAGACCAAAGGTCCACAGGAGGTTGAAAAGTATTGATGTTGTCAAGGATTTCAAGAAGCAGCAGAAGAAAAAAGTGTACACAGAGGTTAAAAAGAGGACAGATCCTGTGCGAAAGCTATAGAACAATGATTTAGAAATAGATATACCCAGCCCTGTTCCAGGTAGCATGGGTTGAAGAAATGAAAACACACACACACACACACACACACACACACACACACACACACACACACACACCCCTACACACACAGAAGCTTTCAATAGATGATGATGTAAAATCTTTTAAATTTTAAGAGAAAATTCATTTTCATTTAGTTTTAAAAGGTAGGAATGTTAAAGGCAATTTGGTGGTGGGGTTCCCTGGTCAAACAATTTTCCAACTCTCTAGACCAACTGCGTGTGCTACAATTCAGTTATGACAAAAACTACCTGAAATTAGCACAGACCCCATATTTTAAGGGCTCAGTCCCACAAAACTACTCTACTTCACACGACAATCACAAGTCCCAAGTTGTCGCCTTTATTTCTGACCAACTGGCTACTAATCTATGACTCTTTCCTTGGGTTTGAAAATTTGCCAGAAGGGTTCTCAGAACTGAGGAAAACACTTATTACTGGTTTACTATGACTCAGCTCAGAAATAGCCAAAGAGAAAAGATGCATAGAGCAAAGCATGTGAAAGGGGAGCAGAGCTTCCATACCTTCTCTGAGTATTCCAACTTTCTATGTGTTCACCAACCTGTAAGCTCTCAGAACCACTTTGGTTAGTTTTTAATGGAGTCTTCGTTAAATAGGCATGATTGATTAAATCACTGGCCATTGATGATTAAGCCAATTCCCCACCCTTCTCTCCATCCTGGATGTTGGGGGTTGGGAGAGGTGGGGCTAAAAGTTCTAACTCTCTAATCACATGGTTGGTTTCTCTGGTAACCAGCCCCCATCGCCAAGAGACACCTCATTAACATAATTGCAGATATGGTTGAAAGGGGCTTATTATAAATAAAAGACACTTCTCTTACCCTATAACTCAGGAAATTCCAAGGATTACATGAGCTCTGTGCCAGGAACCAGAGAGACAAAGACCAAATACATATTTTTCATTAAATCACAATTAGTTTTCTTCTGCTGCTGTAACAAATTACCACAGACTCAATGGTTTACAACACAAATTTTTCACCTTACAGTTCTGTAGGTCAGGAGTCTAACACTGGTCTCACTTGGCTAAAATCAAAGCGTAGGCAGAGTTACATTCCTTTCTGGAAGCTCTGGGGGGGAATCTTAGTCTTTTGTCTTTTCCATTCCAAACACTGAACATATTCCATTCCATTAACACTGCATCTCTGACCATTTTTTCTGGTCACATCTCCCTCTGATTCTTCTGCTTTCCTCTTTGATTTTTAAAGACCCATGTGATTACATTGGGCCCACCTAAATAAAGGCAGCTGATTAGCAATGTTACCATTTGCAAACTTAATTCCCCTTTGCATGTAACCTAACATATCCACAGGTTTGGGGAATTAAAATATGGATATTTTGTGGGGACCGTTATTCTGCCTACCACAGGAAGAACACTGCAAAAGTTTGTAAGCAAATAAAGAAGGACAGTGAATTAATGCAATCTGGTTAATGGAAGGCAGAGTTTATCAGAACTGATTTCAAGATTTCAATTGGATGTGAGATCATGAGCCCTAACAAAGTTTCAATCCCAGATTGCTGATGATTAATATGCGCTTTCTGAATCTATGTTTAAAAATACTAACAGTACTATTGCTGCTGCTGCCCTTGCTGCTGCTGCTCCTCCTCCACTTCCTCCTCCTAACAACAACAACAACAACAACAACAACAATAACCAAACAAATACCTCTTAGGCTTTATAGATCAGGGCTGCTATAAGGTCATCACATGAACTCATTTCATCCTTAAACAATATTGTGAGAAATAATCATTTTCCCTATTTTCACATGAGGAAACTAAGTCTTAGTAACTTGCCTAAGGTCACGAAGTAGAGAATTTGAACTGAAACCCAGGTAGTAAAGCTCCAGGGCTTTTAACATTACATCCTACAGTCTTCCTATGTTCATCTCTCCGGGTGGGGAGAAGTGGAGTGGCTGACAAGTATCTGTTTTGATTCAGATACCAAAGGGTACCAGTTAGATATGAAGCTAATTAGGACAGGATCTGTTGAAACAGCCATCGGAGGAAAAGTGGCTCTTCGTATTGAATCTACAGACACCAGATTACTTTTGTTCAATTCAATCTAAATATAATGGCAAAACCATCCACAAACTATTTTTTCTTTTCCCTTCTTTTCATTTAGCAAATATTTATTAATGGTAATATAAGAAAAGCTATATAGGACATTACGTGAATCTAAGACATACCCATAAGAATTAGATGAATAATACAAAGTAGAAAATTATAAAATTTGCCAAATAATTTATAAAATCATCTATTATATTATTGCAACCTTTGTCATTTGATCCCCCTCCATTTTCTTCTCCATATTCTCTCTTCTTTTAATATCTGTCTGCCTCTACCCATATTTTCACTACCTTTGAAGGCTTCTCTTTTCATCGTTTTGCTCATATTCTTGGCTTTTTCTTCTCTCATTTGCCTGTATCACCATCTACTAGCTACACCATATTCTAATCTCTGTGGGAATAAACTATTTTGTTTTGAAATACTAAAATTCTCCTGAATTCATTTTCTCCTTTTAACTTATCGCTATTCAAATTTGACTTTCATTCTCTCTGCTCAACTTCCTTACTAAATTTCTGCTTATAATTCTCCCAAATCTTGACAATTCACCCATCTTCCCTTTCACTGTTCTCTGAATTTTAGCAAATCTAATCTTGTCATTCCATATTCAAAGTTATTCATGTTTCCATGATCTACCAGATAAAAATCTTTACACAGTTTAGAAACTCCCTGCTTACATCAAACCATGTTTTTGCCTTTTCCTCTAATTCTGCTTTGCATTTTACCCTGTAGCAGCACAGAAATACTTGTGGTTTCCAACACACATTACACTCTGTCATTCCTCTGTAACCTTTTCCTATTCCCTCTGCTGCTTTTACTCTATCTGTATGGAAAACTCCTAGTCAAATGTCATCTTTGCTGTTAGGCCTTCCCAGTCTCTTTTAAGCACATATGGGACTCCTCTTCTGCCCCAGCCTATACTGTACATCCCTCCATTGTTTACAAGAATGTTGTTATTGGTTTGGGGGGTAAGGACTTGGGTTTTTCTATTCCTAACACCTAACATAAACTCCAGTGCACAATAGCCCAACCATCTTTGCTTAATTTAACCTACCCTTTTATTTAACCTACCATCACGCTATGGCATAGCTCTTCTTTCTGCCTAAATATCAGTTCCTCAAAGTGTATTCTTTGGAACCCCAGTGCTCTACAGAAGAGTTGTATATTATAAATAGAGTTAGCCTTTAGATAGCTATTTGAAGTGTCTGCTTATTTTCATTGTAAGTTAAGTCCAATTCTTCTTGTCTCAAATAATCCTCTTATCTTTTAGCTCCATAATGATTCTCAAATGAAATTGAGGTCCGTCAAAGAAATAATTAGAAAATTAGAAATAGAAATTTTTTAATAATTAGAAAATTAGAAATTAGAAATTTAGAAATTAGAAATTAGAAAATTAGAAATTAGAAATTTCTATTTTTTACCACGATCTAGATGAGGAACATCAACAACAAAACAAATCATATGTATATATGGCTAAAACACCAACATAATTTCCTCCAAATTTACTTATTTCAAACTCACCTCTGCTCGATCTAGATTATTGCCAATAAAATGAACAAATTGTGCTCATTTCCGTTAATGCTTCTATTCACATTAATAGATGGATTGATGTTGGCTCTGTGATTTTAAACAGTTTGAGGAAAATAACCGTTACAAGGGAAAGTTTTAAGAGTCACTGAAAAATAGAGCATCAATCAAGGTCTGATCAGGAAAACAGAACATACTATGTTACCAAGGGAACTTAATAATAGGGTGTTCTTACACAGGGGCTGGAGGGGGATTTCTAGACCAAAAAGGGGAACTTTTTGGTCCGAGGTGATCGAGATATCAGATGTAAGAAACCACTGTCACCTTTAGAGCTAGGGAAACAAAGGGAAAAGGTTGGGTTATGAGAACTCAAGATTAGACCTCTGAGAAGTGGGCACAGCCTGGCTGGTGCTGGTACCTCTGAAGTGTCTGGTTCTTAGAGCGTAAAACAAGTGGGAGGCTGGAACCAACTGCTGATGATAGTGTGAAGGGCTGTTACTGCTGAGGTGATGCTGATAGGAGGTCTCTTTCTTCTACTCCGGCCTTCCTTCCTGTGACTTCTATTGATAGAACCTACCAGGAAGAAAGTTGGCAAAGGAGACGGATTACAGAGCCACAGCCCCAGTATTACAAACCCAGAATGTGGAAGTATGAATATGGAAAGACAATAGATTATAAGCAGCACTAAAAGCAGTTAAGAGTCTTAAGCAATAGTCTTAAGTCTATTTTCCAGCTTAAAAAACTCAATCATATACTCAAGACCTTAAAAAATTAATATTCTTCTGTTATTTGCCAGTAGACATGCACTCGAGTATGCTAAGTCACTAAATTTATCATTTAATCATCTAATCTGGGACCTATATGACTGATATTGTTCTAGGTGGTTGGGTTTCAACAGTGAAAAAATAGCTTCCCATCAATCTTTGTGGAACTTTCATTTTAGCAAAGGAAAAACAAACAATAAATAAAGATATAACATGTCAGATGGGGAGAAAATAAAGCAGGTTAAGATGGGATAGAGATTAGGGGGGGGCTTTTTCATATGAAGTGGTCATAGAAGATCTTAATGATGAGTGAAATTTGAGCAAAGACTTAAGGGAAACATAAGGGAGAAAGCAGTATGAATTTATTGGGGGGAGGGGGAAAATTTTCTGTAGGAAATAGTTGCATTTGATAAATGTGAGGTTGGTGAAGATTTCCAAGTGGGTGGATTTGTGTGTGGAAAGGAGTGGGGGTATCTGCAGTTTTTTTTTTTTTAACTATTTCCAAAATTCTGCTTTAGAAAATGTGATTATAGCCAGGTAAAATCAACTTATCATCAACTATAGTACCAAGTTCAAACATTCCACAGAGCATTGCCTATCTCTTTCACTGAGGCAAAAGCTATATTTCGCATAGCGGGTTATAAAAAAATTGCTGCTGGTAAATGGAACTACCTAGAGTACATAGGGCCTACCTCTACTATGAAATATTTCCTTTGTTTCAAAGTCAGGTATGAAATTCTAATAACAGTCGCAAATCTTTAATTTAGAATATTTGAGGAAGTGTAAAATGTCCAGCACTGTACATGATTATCTCTGTTAACATTTCAACCTTTGTTTTTTAATTAAGCATTAATGAAACTCGATAATTGGCCAGCAGTTTTTGAGGCAGAAAGTGGGATGGATTCCATCAGTACTCTTAACCAAAAACAGTGAAATCATTTTTGGCATTAAGATCATGTTGCTTTTTATTCAGATAATTTTCTTCTTGAAAAATGCATGCATAATTTGGATTCAATGGTATCACAAACATTAATGTTAGCTATAATTATTTTTTCAACCAGTTTGTCCCTCAAACAATAAAAGTAAACTTAACTATAAAGTTAGACAGCTAAAAATGGTATAAACCTGTGATACTCTCATGTTAAAGGTTTTTTAGAAATCAACAGTTATTCTGGCCCTTAGAAAAAGAGCTGTACTACGTAATGTAAAATCTTTTTCTGTAGCTAATAATAATTTCCAACTGGAAAGCTTAGGGAGGGTATGTCTTTATTTGAGGAGAATGTAATTTAAGACACAGTAGAAATTTGAGTTACATCAGTAATTTTGTTTTAACTTTATAAGGAATCTTGAGAGATCAGTGGTATCTCCTGGAAGCAAGAACTTGCTTTTGGCAGGAAAACCACCACACATGGCTTCTACTATTTGCACTTAACCTCTGTGCCTAGGTTCCTCCGGCTGTCAAGTAGAGATGATTGTAATTGCTATCTTCTGTGAAAAGTAAGAGTGTGCTTTGACATCTCTGGCTGAAGATGCTATATCAACACAAATTATTATTAGAACATAATGCATGTATGCATATAAAACGCCAGCATGGTGGTCTTTTAATGCTTATATAACATCTATAAATACTGCTCTTCCAAACTCTCTCTTCACTGTTAGGTCAGAGGAGAATATAATCATATCAGCCCACTAATCCAATTTATCAAAATATGGAGGAAATATATTTTTTTAAAGCTCCATATCATCATTTTGAGAAGCACTAACCCAGCTAATCCCTCACGGTCTCTGTAGCAATTGCACGATGGCCCCCATATTAATCCTTTGGCACCTTTTCAAATGTTGGCTAAATTACTTTTTCTGGAGACTGGAACCATCAGGGAAAGGCTGGGGGAATGAAATTAGCTAGCGATATTAACATTTTGGTTATTTAACATTTAACTGGGTATCAACAACGTGCTAAAGTGCTATCTAAACAGATAATTAGCTAGTCGCTGCAAGTGGGCTCTCTAAATTTAGCAGTGAAATTAGGTTTAGGAACGCGGAAATAGTAAAATAAATTTTCTCAAGGAAAACGGTGGTGTCAGCATAGCTGGGGAATGTCACAATAGCTACATTTCGTCAATTATCATCATCATCAGATCTCCCGGAGCGAATGCAGGACAAGGTTTATTTGTAGGTGCATCTTGAGGACAGATAATGAAAAGAGTGGCTGCAGGAGACAGGCTTACAGGGGACAGAAACAGGCAGGCATAGAGAGAGAAAGAGAAAAGGAGGGTGGAGGAAAAGAGGTTCTAAACTCAGCGCTAGGGAACAGGATGGGACGTGGAAGTTAAAAAAAGATAGGTGGACATAGTGTATAATGGTGTGTTGCCTGGGAAGTGAGTAAAACGTTGTAAGCCAGTGGGTGGAGGGTGGGAGACCCTAGAGATTGAAGGGGAAGGACAGCGTGATCTTGGCGGCAGGCAAGCATTAGTTTAGCTAAAACCTTGTTCGACTTTCTTATTGGTGGAGACGGCAAAACCTACGTAAAATTAATGGTGTCGAGACTAAGGACGTGTGTCCTCTGCCTCCAGTATCCCTCGGGACGGTCCAAACTGTCTACCATTCCCACTGCCGCCGGTGGCTATAGCTCCAAGGTCAGGCCACCAGAGCTATGCGTGGCAGAGGATGAAGAGCGCAGGGCACGCAACCTGTCAGGGGTGAGGGAGGGTCGTGGTGGACCACAGACGCTCCTCTTAAACACATCCCGAGGTCGCTTTCCCGCAATAAAGTCAAAGGAAAACAAGCAATGAAAATAAAATTACACGTGCGAACATGCAAATGAAACAAAACGAAAGAAAAACACCTCCGCATTCGAGGCGCTCCGATGGGGAAATCCATGGCCTCCTGTTGCCAGTCGCCAGACGAGGACAGAGGATAGCCTGGCAGTCGGGAGAAGCAAGAGCGGGAAAGCAAACCTTCTAGGGCCCCTCTCCTCTCCCGGCCACGGGGACCCTTCCACCAAGTCTCCCTCCCAGTGAAAGGAGCAAGAAAACAGCCCGCGAAAATGTGCCTCGGCGGGCTGGGGGGTAGTGGGGCTGGGAAGAAGGGAGAAATTCGGAGGAGCACAGCTGTCCCGGGAAGCAGGAAGGAAAAAGTCTCTCCTTTCAGTCTCCTGCGCCCCCGGCGTGGAGAGAGATGACTAGTCCAGCAGGCTGGGTCCAGATTCCTAGACAAGAATCTTTGGCTTGGGCAACGGAAGGGCAACCCCATCCTCCTTTTCCCTCCCCACATCCTCCCCGTCCCAGGTCCCCGCCGGAGTGAGGCAAACCACGAGCCGGATGGTCCCGCCGCCCTCCGCCTCTGTCTGCGCCGGGGCCGCTGTGGACCAGCGAGCGGTGGAGTGGGCGAGACCATTGGAAAAGCTGAGAAGGGGGGAACGAGGAAGAAACGAGAGGCGGGGCATACTAACCTATTCCAGATTTTCCCGTCCTTTTAAAAGCTCTGCTTTGGGAGAAACCCCGTTATCAAAGTGGAAAGAAGAGATTTTTTTTTTTTTTTTGAAAGGGGAGGAGCGTGTGCAGAGGGGCGGAGTGGGAGGAGAAGCGGCTGGCTCTCCCGGATCAGACGGGAGCTGGAGTTGGGTGGGGAAGGCGGGCGAGTTCCAGCGCTCGCTCTGAGGGTCGGCTTCCTCTCCCCCTCCCGCGCGGGGCGGGGTGGT